ATGGAAAGTGAATTTGCTCTGTAAACATTTACCCAAATCACAATTAAAAAAAAAAAAAAAGTGTACCCCTCCACCCCCCAAAAAAGAACTCTATGGCACACAGTTCTACTCTGACACACATGGGGTCACTTTGAGTTCTACTCTGACACACATCGGGTCACTTTGAGTCAGAAGTGATTCAATGAGAACTGGTTGGTTGGTTGGTCATAAAGTATTTATAGTCATGTAAATGTGTTCCTAAATACTCAGTCCTTCAGAAAGTGATAAAGAACCATGTTGTCCAAAGAAATTAATATGCTGGACAGAAAATGACCTGCATTTTCCACAAGCTCATCCACTACTGTGAGAAGCCCAAGTCACTGCTATGATAGATGTTGGCAGATGAATATACAGGTTCCCTTGAGAACCTGGGCTGACCTTGAGAGTCTGAGATATTTGAAGGCTGAGGGGGTTGAACACTGGAAAAGACGCATGTTCTCTTTTTAAAGTTGAAGAATTAATTTGAGGTATGGATGGCTTAGAAATGTCAATGGTCTGTCACAGATGACAAGTGAGAGTATCTATCTGAATGAGCCAAGTGGCTAGAAAAAAAAAGTTTATAGGCAGCAGATATGCACTCTGTCTCCATTATTGTCTCTGTGATGGTGGTGTCGACAGGACATAACATCACACCAAAATGAAATCTGCAGGCAGAGCCCATGGGGGACCTTGGCTATTTCAGGCTTGTATTTCTAAGATGACTGGGCTCTGGGCTTTTCCGGTCCCTCCTCTGCCATTTAGACCCATCAGACAAGTGGGCAATGAAGAGTTCCCATCACTGAGGAGTTCCGCACAGTGACTGTAACAAGAATGGGTCCCAAATCATCCTGCACAGTGTTCTGTCGATAATAAAAGGCATCTCTTGGTTTTGGCCCAAGATTCATACAAGGATGGATAAATATGCACAATTTATTATTTTTAAATGTGCTCTTAAGTTGTAGCTGAGGAGAAGAAATGAAACCCGTGTCCTCGTCACTCACCTTAAAACGGCTGATCAGATCATAGCGCGTGAGTAATTCATAGAAAATGAATTTCAGTGCGTGATCACCACTGGCATCATTGAGGGAAAAGACATCAAAGGACCACTTGTCCACATCCTGCAGGACCAGGTGGGGGAAAAGAATGCCATTAGTCCAGTGCCATTCAGAAGGGTGCTAATCTCCTCACGATGGGGTCAGCCATGCATTCCTCAGTCAAGATTTCACAGCCCAAGACTAAGAACATTAAGACTCATCTATTCTCAAACTTTTTCCAACTTAGGAGTCCTACATGGCATTTACTGTTAAAATGTTAACTATTATTATTATTATTAAAACAATAATCTGATAATAACAAAATTATAAAGTATCTACTATATGCCAGTCTCTGGTAGTTGAGTAGCTGCCTTAGGGATGTGGTCTTAGTATATAAGAAGCAATTTTGAGTAAGGTCTCCAGCTTTTGGCATGCTTGATTCCTGCATGTAGTCGAATCATTGTTCAGCAGCCTGCCATGTTGTCTGCCAGTCTTTGGACTCTTAATGGACTTGAATCAATGGCCTGTGGTGTGGTTTGGTAATATCGGGACTATGCCTTTTTACTTTTTGACCTTGGGTTTTTCAGCCTCAACAGCCAGCAGCTGCCTGAGTTAAGAAAAGTCTCCAGCTTCAGTGGGCCAGGAACAAGTGCCTTAGCATAGTGCCTAAGGCATCTGACTGCTAACCAGAAGGCTGGCAGTTCAAACCCACCAGCTACTCCTTGGAAGGAAGGTTTGGCAATCTATTTCCGTAGTGATGTTGTTATTGTTGTTACGTGCCGTCGAGTCAGACCCGACTCATAGCACCCCTCCTTGGGTTTCCGAGGCAGTATCACTAGATTGCCCAACCTTCCTTCAGCCAGGAGTGGCTGGTGGGTTTGAACCACCAGCCTTCTGGTTAGCCGTCAAGTGCCTTAGGCACTATGCTACCAGAGATCGTAGTGATACTGGCTGGGAAATCCAAGGAGGGGTTCCTATGAGTCAGATATGACTCAATGGCAGTGAGTTTGTTTGTTTTTTTTTTTTGGTTTAAGTATAAAATAACAATTCATGTGCATTACAGGGTGCTCCATATTTTCTTCAGTTCTGCATAGAAAGTGCCACAATTTGGAAGAAAATATTTTCATAAATGTCTTGGTACATTTAAAACTACCTGTATTTATGTTCAAGAGCTATGGTGGCACAGTGGTTAAGACATTCGGCTGCTAACCAAAAAAAAAGGCTGGTGGTTCGAATCCACCAGCCTCCCCATGGGAGAAAGATGAGGCAATCTGCTTCCATAAAGCGTTCAGTGCGTGATCACCACTGGCATCATTGAGGGAAAAGACATCAAAGGACCACTTGTCCACATCCTGCAGGACCAGGTGGTCCTTGCAAACCATATAGGGCAGTTCTATTCTGTCTGATAGGGTTGTAATGAGTTGGAATCTACTTGATGACAGTGGGTTTGGTTGGTGGTATTTACGTTCACAAAAAAGAAAGAAATTCAATGTGAAAGATGGTTTTAATGTTTCAAAGACTTCCACTGAATGTTTCAGATTCAATTATGGAGAATCAATGCAGCTTCATACTGAGTGTTATAAAACATCAGATCTCATGAAGGATTTCACTGATTAATATGGGAAATATCACTGTAAATGACACGAATGTATTGGGCATTAGAGTGAGAGTTGAAGAATCAGAGAAAACATGCATGTCTTCTTGCTGTGAGTACTCTTGGTCTTAACATGAGTTAAGAGAAAACACAAAACAGAGACAGAAAATTTGTGCATATATGGTATCAAAAACTTAGCTAGTGAATGGCTTATAGACGGGAGAAACGATTATGAATATATAATCAAATGGCTCTAACAGGCTCTTTTCTGAATTGAATTAATCAAAAAGCCCTCCCACCCATGATTCCATGAACAAACAATTTAAATTGTCCTCTGAAAATATCATCAGGTAATAAATTTTTCAGGTGTCAGAGTAAAACAATGGCTTTAGCAATGTTGGAATGTGGCACTGTTCCTGGACCTGGCTCCATGTGACGTCAACCAGCCTAGTTTTCCTAGGCTTTAGGACAGCCAGGCTCTCAAATTCAGAAGGCAAGTCAGGTGAAGTGCAGCTGGGATACCCTCAGATTAGTGGATCTGACCTAACATACACCTAGAGGAATTCTTTTGCTCTGGGGCTTTTAGAGAGATTATCTACTGTTCTAAGAGCTTGCATGATTCAGAGTACTTCTGTGGCATTTAGCTCTTTTAAACTCAAACATCTGTGTCACTTCTCATGAAATATTTTGCTTCAATGAGAGTCTTGGGAAAACCAGAGAGACTATATGGAGAGGACAAAGACTATGGGGGCATACATTCATGAACTAAATGTTATTGAGAGTTTACTATGTGACAAGAACTTTGGGGTTGAACTTTAGCTCTATATCTAACTAACAGTGTCTCTTTTTTAAAAAGTTGGTTGAGTCTTTGTTTCTTTGTCTATAAAATGCATTTAGAATAGGTGATCAAATAATATTAAGATCAACAAAGATCCTCTGATGTTAAATACTTATAGCCAAAACAAATTTGATCTCCTCTGGCCAAAGACAGACTGAGTCCCATGATACCAGATGACTGTACAAAACCTAAACTGCTCCAGGGAAGTAGAAAGAAGTAAAACCAACACAGAGTTGGATTTTAAAACATATATAGTGTGGTAGTTAAAGTTATGTGTCAGCTTGGCTGGGCCTGGTTTTGAGTGGCTGAACAGCTGGATGTAGTTATTCCCCACAGTAAGATTGGTAATTAACTCCATGGTAGAATCTATTGGAGCAGCTGAGTGGCTGCTTTAGGGATGTGGTCTGGTTCCAGTATATAAGAAGCAATTTTGAGGAAGGTCTCCAGCTTTTGGCATGCTTGAATCCTGCATGTAGTCAAGTCATTGTTCAGCAGCCTGCCATGTCGTCTGCCAGTCTTTGGACTCTTAATGGACTTGAATCAATGGCCTGTGGTGTGGTTTGGTAATATCGGAACTATGCCTTTTTACTTTTCAACCTTGGGTTTGTCAACCTGAACAGCCAGCAGCTGCCTGAGTTAAGAAAAGCCTCCAGCTTCAGTGGACCAGGAGCAAGAGCCAGAGCTGAAGCCCAAGGTCGAGGGGCTTTTACCCAGCCCCTAGAGGCTGGCACTTTGAACTTTGACTTCTAGCCTCTAAAACTATAAGAGAATAAACTCCTGTTTGTTAAAGCCAACCATATGTGGTATTTCTGTTAGAGTGGTACTAGAAGTAACCAAAACATATAGTAAGAAGGCTGAAAAGAGAGTTACATTGTTAGAACCAATTTAAAAAAAAAAGATAATGAAAGAAAAAAGTCAGGAATGACTGGGTAAAGAGTTGCACATAAATTTTCTTTCTTTATAACAAATTTCACTACACTTTTTGTTGTGTTCTATTTATTTTTTAAATTGTGATTTAGGTGAAAGTTTATAGAGCAAAGTGGTTTTCCATTCAACAATCCATATACATTCTTTATCTGTATTTTTTATAGGGTATCTAATACATTTTAATATCTTTCCATTGGTATTACCTTCAATGCTTCAATAACAGCTGGTGGGTAACTCAATCCAACCATGTTTGATGTCCGTCTGTACATTCTGGCAAAGTCAGAGGGGAAAAATGCATTGTAATTTCTTACAAAGAAGGATTAGTTGCCCATAGACTTACACAAAATAATAATAAGTCATGTCCTCTGGTGACCCAAGGAACCAAAAATTTCTTCTATGACCTTTTTCATAGTCACTCAAGTGCACTAAATGCTAAATTAAGATAAATGAAAGCAACCCCAAACACATGAGCCATTGGAAACAAACAAACAAACAAAAAGCTGATGTGCCCAGAATTGGAAATTAATTATTAAAACAGGTCAATTCTGTCAGAAGTGAATCACAGTGCAGTATGGACAGTATGAAGCATGGCACTTTAACCTGAATGAAGCACATACATGAGCAACCCATTTAGAAGAACATGATCTTTAGAATTGTCAAAAACAAGAAAGAGAAATGGCCAAGATAAATTTTGCACTCAACATGGAATTTGTAAATATGTAATTGTGCAACATGGATTACAGCAATAATAAGTTTTTGTACTCTTTCTGAGGAAGAAGGAAGGCAATTCAATTTCAAAGAGTAAAATGACTAACAAAGCTGAGAGTGTCATCGGAAACTCAAACCCCTGCAAATAAACTGCCCTTCCAGAGTCAGCAATCCCAAAGTATCCCAGACCTGCTCCAAATGTAGCCATCATGTCCATGTCAATGAATGATGGATTAGAAGATATTATTCTTTAAATACTACAGACTGAACTCAAACTAAACCATCTCCACTTTTTAAAAAAAGAATTCTGAGCAAAGGCAAAAGCTTGTCCTAATGAGGCAACCAATATTAAAATAGATATGTTTTTGTCATTTCCCATTCAAGACTATTTTTCCCACCCAGGATTTTCAATATGTAAAGGATATCCAGCCTATATTGGAGCAAAGTTTCCAGCTATTGGAAACTGGTATTCTGTTTGCTGCTTTGGTCACGGAATGGAAACCATCTTTACCTCTCCACAAAAATCCCAGCCTGCACTGCATGGACGATGGTCTTGAACCGAGGCTTCTCCTCACTTCTTCTGAGCATCATCCCCATCTGCCGCGTGAAGGTGGAAGCCAGCCAGTCTCGGACCTCAGATGGCACGGCATCTGACTGGATGTCACTGAGCTCATCCTCGGTATCCAGGAGTCGCCTGAATACAAGAAACATAACCAGGACACTGAGATTAAATCTGAAGCTAGAGCTCTGTGTTCAAAACAGCTGCTCCTTTGTACACCACCTTCACACAAACGAGCAAAAAAACCAACAAGTATTGGCCACAAAATATGTAGCACCTTTTTGGTAAGGCCATTTGTGTTTTGGGATAGTTCTCTTTACCAGAGACAGAGAGACAAAGGGACGAGGGGGAGTCAGATAGATCCTACCTCAGGTTCCATGGATCCTGCTCTCAGGAGCACCCAGTATCTTTACTCCTTGAAGATTTGTGGGATTTGAGTGGAATTTAAACTTTCCATTTTAAAATGCATTCACAGAGAGGTATAATTGTCATTCAATGAACTATTTCATAAATGGACCATTTGGCCTTATTTAATTCAAAGAAATGCTGCAAAGAATCATCCAAATCACTACCACTGAGCTACCCAGTTCTCTGCAGTGCTGATCCTAGTTGATACTCTTTTCAATTTAAGAAGATGTTGCAGAAATTCAAATGTCTACATTCAAACAAAATAACTAAAATAATGTTTTTCATTTGAACATCATGATTTAAGTTACCTGACACTGCATGTAGCTTATTTTTTTAAACTTATTTATAAGGAAGACCACTAGAAAAGAACACAATTAAATAATAATAATAAGTTAAAATAAAACATAATATTATAATTTCTATTTATATTAACACCTACTAAAAATAAGCAGTAGAAGCAAGTGTCAATATAAAGTGTTTTGTTTTCCCTTAAGCACATGTGGGGAAAGAAAGAACCCTTATGTGAAAATACTATGACTTCAATCAATCTCCTTAAATTAGGAACCAAGTGTGTCACCAGAAAATAGACAACAGAATCCTGAGATTATGATGAAATATTTTCATATTGGAATTTAGCAAATAAAATATAGACATTAAAACTACTGACAGATAGCCCTATCTGAATTAGAAAAAAAAAATCTTTCTATATTCACCATTTCAGCATTTTTCAAAAAAAAAGCAATTCTGTTGCTTTTATAAATGCATTTAGTAACTGCAATTGTTTGAATGCTCTGGGATAATCCAAGTGGGAAGAGTCTGCTAAGAAAGTCAATAACAAACGTATGCTTAAAGGAGAAATAATAGATGCTTAAGAAAACAAATGTATTCCGAACAGGAGTATCCATTTACTGATGGACATTGTGAATTAAAACTTGACCATAATTTTTAGGCTGAGGCAAACAATATGCAATAGTAACAGTGAAACTACTTATTTGATTAAAAAAAAAATCTTACCAGGTTTTTAAAAATTACCTGTTCTTCTTTTACATTGTCTCACGTCACTGTCATAAGAGGCTTGTAAGATAGGTTCCACGGACTCTTTTTATAGGGGAAGAGGCACACAGGCTCAGTGACTTGTCCAAATCTACCCAGTTTATTTTTGGAAACTAAGACTCCAAGACAGTGATTTGAATCCTACTCCATCTTTGGTAGCATAGTGCCTAAGGCACTTGACTGCTAACCAGAAGGCTGGCAGTTCAAACCCACCAGCCACTCCTCGGAAGGAAGGTTGGGCAATCCTACTTCCGTAGTGATACCACCTCGGAAACCCAAAGAGGGGTCACTATGAGTCAGGGCCGACTCGATGGCATATAACAACAACCATATCTAGTATGGGGGATGATTTTATAAAAGCCATTTAACAGAAAATTTACCTTCACTGGACTAGTCTTCCCTTGTCTTTAACTTACCTGGTTTCATCAATGTATACAGATTCAAGTACTGTGGCTGCATATTCCAAATTCTTCTTAAGATCTACCACAGACGCCTCCCCTCTCTCTAATTGTTTGACCAAAGATCTCAACCTATGAGAAAAAATAGATAGGATTAAGTTAGAAGATGAAATAAAAAAATAATCCTAAAATTATAGTGACACATTTTACAGTTATTGAATGTTCTTATTAATTCCAATATGTTTGGAAGGAAAATAGAAATCAAATTATGGAGCAGACCAACAGTTCTCAAAGGGATGTTTTGTTGTTGTTATGTGCCATTGAGTTGGATAAGCTAGACAAAAAATTGTGAAGCAAGACCAAAAATGCCTCATCAACCAGGCACCAGCAACATGAATACTTCCTAACCTTCTATATTTTCAACAATTCATGGGTTACTGATTATGTTGATAACCATAAACATTATCAATATTTTATTCTGATTTTTCTTGTGTTCATTGTATGTAATAAAGCACAATCAGCAGCAACATCACTAAACATCTCTTGAAATTCTGCTATGTTTAAGATACTGTGTTCAGCAGTGGCAACAGAGAGGGATTTTCCAAGATAGGCAAGGAGAGTCACATCATTTACATAAGGAATATGTTAGAATATAAACAATTTTATAGGACAAGAAGAGCAAATAAATACTCTAGTCAAAAAAAGAAAAGACAAGACAGTGGATGACAAATGAAGGAACTGCAAACAAGCCCTTCCCATGGTTAATCTAAAGTTCTAGCCAGTACAAGAGAAACAATAAAACATGCCCATCTCTCAATACATGCTACAAAATGCTCAAAGACATTATGCTAAGCAAAACAGGTCAATCACAGAAGGACAAATATATGGCCTCACTTATACGAAATGACAAGAATAGGTAAATATATAGAAACTAATGGTTATTAGAGGAGTTCTAATGGTGTAGTGCCTAAGGCATTTGACTGCTAACCAGAAGTCTGACGTTCAAACCCACCAGCCACTCCTCGGAAGGAAAGTTGGGTAATCTACTTTCGTAGTGATACCGCCTCGGAAACCCAAGGAGGGGTCACTATGAGTCGGATCCGACTCGATGGCAGTTATTAGGGGTGGGGACAGGAGAGAAGTAGTGAATTTTTATCTGTGGTGATAGGAAAATTGGCATCGATTGAAGGTAATGGTTACACAAATGAAGTACTATAACTAACATCACTAAGTTGTATGTCAGTAAAAAAAATGGTGTGCAAGTTGGTAAATATAGTGTTGCATGTAACTTCAGAATTTAAAACGCAGCCAAAAGAAATGAAAAAGGCAGCAGCTGTTGATACCACTTAGGTACAATTACCTAGGTATTAGAAGTTTTCTTGGTTTAAAGGTTTAGGGTTATGGTTTTGTAGGTCTATCCAGTCAATTGGCCAAATGTTGTCTTTAGATTTTCTATTCCAACTCCTTGTTCAGTGAGCAGGGCCGGGGGTCTTAAAAGCAAGTGGTCACCCAAGATACAACAAATGTTCTCTATTTTGCCTGGAGAAACAGAGGAAGAAGGAGACCCAAGAATTGGAGAAGGAAATGGCTGCCAGTCTAATTGCATCCATGACCTATCTACCATCTTCTTCACCTGAGACTGGAAGAAATGGATAGTGCTCAGCTCCTGGATGTTTTGACCAAGAACTCAACAGATAGATCTTTATTGAAAGGAGAAAAAATGTGGAACAGAACATCAAATTATCATGGAAACTACACTTACTGGATCCCTTGAGACGAGGTGAATCACTGAATATACAGCCAGGAAACAATTTTTAAACCTTGAACTGAAACTATCCCATGAAGTCATTTTTAAACTCAACAACAGTTTAGCTCAGTTAGCAAAGAATGTTTGCCTTGAGCTTTGTGCTATTTTAAGGAGATCAAATTGACACCAGTAACCCTAAATAAAGCACAAATGAGAACTTTAAGGGGCAGAGAGTCTAAGTTAACGACGGTAAACAATATAGGTAGAAGTTGTGAGAATAGTGACATAATGTGAAGTAATCAACTTATGCCATTGCACTACACATGTAAAAGCTGATTTTAAAAATGCTCTTCTCTTATTTATATGAACTTTATCCACACAGGGAAGGACTTCGTATATTAGAACAATAAAAGGACTACAGATGATCAGAGTCCTATAACTGTTAACACTTTACAGACTACAGAGATTTGGAGATTGGAAAACTCTTCAGGCTGTTGACTGGTAACACAGAAAACAACAGACTTTGAAGACAAACTTAAGCTTGAATCCCACTTCACACAAATTAGTTATGTGACACCAGGCACATTATTTAACTTCTCTGAGTGTCATCTGTAAAGTGGAGAAGCAACTACCAAGTTCTCAAGGTTGATATAAAGATTAAATCAAATTGATACATGGCAGGAAGTCATTAGTTTTTTTGTTTTGTTTTATTTATTTTTTTTTTTCCCTGCCCCATAGGATTTCCTAGGCTGTAATCCATAAAGATTACAGCCTAGGAAATCCTATGGGGCAGGGAAAAAAAAAACTAATGACTTCGGTTGGGCAATCTACTTCTGTGGTGATACTGCCTCAGAAACCCAAGGAGGGGTCGCTATGAGTCGGGGCCAACTTGACGACACATAACAAGAACAACAATCTTTATGGAAGGGTTACTGGTGGCACAGTAGTTAAGACCTTGGATGCTAACCAAAAGATCAGTGGTTTGAATCCACCAGCCGTTCCATGGGAGAAAGATGGGCAATCTACTTCCATAAAAACTTATGGCCTTGGAATACTTATGGGGCAGTTTTACTCTGTCCTATAGGGTCATTACAAGTCCAAATTGACTTCATGGCAACAGGTTTTATTTGGTTTAATCTTTTCATATTTTAAAATACATTTTATTGAAATATAATTTATGTGCAGTGAAATACACAAAACTAAAGTCACGTGGGTAAATGCATTTTTTTTTTTGCAGTGTTTCCACCCAAATTGATACTTGTCTCTACCAATCTAACAGTGTTTCCTCCCTTCGCCTGGTAACCAACAAAGAAAGTTTCCTTCCATATACAAACCTTTCCTTGACTTTTTACAATAACGAACTAATACTCTATTTGTCCTTCTGTGATTGACTTATTTCATTCAGCATAATGTCCTCCAAGTTCATCCATGTTATGCGGTGTTTCACAGATTCTACCATTATTCTTTAGTGTTTAGTTTTTTAAAAAGGCAATTGTTATGATTATTGCCATTGATGCTGTTCAATTACCATAATCATCAAAGATAACCAAATGAGAAAAATTTTAGCAGGATATTTGTCCAAGTCTCCATTTCTCATCATTTATGCAATCTGAACCTACCTTCCTGACCTCAAAATATTCTCAGTCTTGTATTCATGGGAGATAATAGGTTGGCTTCTTGACAAGTTGTAAGTGACTCCTTACAACTTAAATCTAAGATCTACACAAAAATTACCAACAATAGAAAATGAAGAAAAGTCCTGCATCAACCTTAAAAAGTAGGCAAGAGGGACAATACACAAAAATTGCATTTTCAATTATGTAGAGCACAGATGAGATTAGATAGAGGGTGGTACTTGCCTGGCTTGTTAAGTCCCCAGCAAGCAAAAGGGAAATGTACAAAGGACATCAGCATAGCCCTCTGTAGGCTTGGTGGAGGGTCAACCCTCAGATCCCATTAGCAGCCGTAGGAAGTGTTCTGGGTTTCAGAGGCAGTACAGGATGGGAAGTTAGAATGAAGGGCTTACTAGTCACTCATACTCAGTAGACAAAAAACCTGCCAAAGAACGGGGAAACTGGGGTAGCTAGCCCTGACTGCTGTCCCTAATAAGGATATGAAGCTCTTTAGCAAAACACATTCCTGGCTAAGTCAGCCTCCAAGTCTGCCTCTCACCTCAAGGGACCCAACCAACCCCCAGGCTGTCTGGTCTTTTAACTAGCAAATGTAAAATGAAAGTAAATTTAAACTTAAAAAGAAAAAATCTGATAGGATCCACCCCAATTCAAGAAACCCAAGGAGGAGACAGGACTAAGCAGAAAAAAAAGGTTGAGAGAAAATATAGACCAATAGAAGTATATAAACCAGAAGATCCTATTAACTGACAATGGGGCTTTCAGAGGAAAAAAAAGAAACAAAACAGAAGCTTTAATCAAAGATAAAATTTAAAAATTTTCTTTGTTGGTTACCAGAGGTGGGAGGGTAGGATAGGGAACACTGTTAGATAGGTAGATAATAAGTAGTGATTTGGGTGAAGAGAAGGGCAATGTACCAAACGTGAGTGATCAACATGGCGGCTTTGAGGAAAAGGATGACACAGAGAGGTGCATGGGAGGTACAGACAACAAAGATGAACCCTTTTGCACATACAGTACTGCGTTGTCAGTGAAGGCAAACATGGGTATATGGGTAGATAGATGGGTGGACAGGCTGAACTATCAGGTTGGTCTATGCAGCAGGGAGTGTACCCAAGGCCATGCATAGGGTTGGCAGAAAAAAAAATAAAAGTTTTCCAAGGCTGAGAAAATACCTATATAAGCAGATAAAGAGGGATCAAATAAAACCAGAAAAAAAATTTAAGAAGTAAGCACCCAACATATGCTGTTATAATTTTTGAATTCAAAGAATGAAGAGAAGAACCTTTAAATATTTAAGAAAAAAAAAAAGATTAATTACCAGGTAACAAAAATCCAAGCTGGACATAAACTTTTAATTTACCATGCTAAACACCAGAAAGCAATTTTTTTAAAACAATGTGTGTTTTTGATAATAATATTTTGTAACTCAAGGTTTTTGTATCTAGTGGAGTTGTTACATATATGTGAAATTAAGAAACATGTTCTCAGATATAAACCAGCTCAAAAATGTTTTTGAGCTTCATATACTTTGCCAATGGGAGGAGGGCAACAAACTTTAAGGGCAGCAGCTTCCCAAGGGATAGATTCATGGGGTTCAGTTAGATGGACTCTGCATTCATGATCTAGATTTAACTAAGCCAACTTTTAAAATGGAAGAGTAGTTTAAAGGGATTCCTGAAAGAAGTGACAGACTCAACATAATGCTAATAGTTCAAAGACAAGGATATGGCATGACAATGGCTGACATTTCT